GAAGCGAAAATATGAAAAACTATAAGTATGAAAGATAACATAATATGATACATGCCCATTGGCGAAGAAGCCTCGAACCGAATATTGTAAGAGTGTGATTCATGCACTGTAATAGAGAGCCAGTTTCAGAACCGTCATCATTATTCTTCAAAACCTAAGAAATAGGCATATTTCTACCGTGAGAAAAACAAACGACGCCTGAGCAGGTAAATGAGAATAGTCATCAATAATACAAACTAAATTCAAATCTGAAAGATCAAAAGTATTAGCATTGAAAACTCAAAAACCAAATAGAAACTAAGTTCAAATCATATTGCCCAAAAGTAAGTATATTTAACAATACTGGCTTTGATAAATTTCGATGGAAAGGTAACGTGCAGTATATTTATATAGGAAATTACCTCAAGTTGTGTAAGTGTATTGCCTGAGAGGGTCATCTCCATTTTGCATGAGAATGGCCTAAAAGAAGACCCCAAGGACACAATTCTTTCTAAACCAAATTGCTTTAAGTAACGAATGGTCAAGGCCAATGCTTGAAGAGCTAAATTTGGCATGTTCATTATTTCCTTCAAATTCAACATAAAATATCTCATAAGAAATGAGGTGAATAGCAAATCAGTTATTACAACACATAATCTAGAAAATTCATTTTTTTCATGAAGATAAAGCAAGTTGGGATGCTAGGAAAATCCCTAACAGCGTACCTTAATTGCTATGCGATCACTTTTTCTTCCAGCCAACACTGTATCAGGGTCGTGATGATCAGCTGCTAAGTTGTCTTTGTCAATGTTTTCATACAAAGACGTCACTTCAGCAAGTGCACTGCCATCTTTAAAGCAATCTCGTGAAACATGCTCCACACGGACATTTGAAGCAGGTCCAGCATAACCTAGTAATAACTGGTCACAAACGATCGCTGTCAGAAATAATTGGAAGTTGCAGTATATCAAGAAACAGAAACTAACAACCAAGAAAATGGGGGAAGTACATAACTAATAGTCAAGAAATCAACATAAGAAAGCATTCTTCATACTGAGTCCATTAAAGTAATTTTGTAATTATTTTTAAATAGCAATAGGAAAAACCGAAAAAGTAAGGTCCTAGCTACTACATGATGCTGCAGTATGGATGACTACGCGTCCTAGTTGATAGAAGAAAGTCCAATTTACTCCAAAGGATCAAGCTCGAGAAAATTATCGGTTCAAACTAAAATTCAAGTTGTAGACATCATATATTTACAGCATCTTTTTCATTGTAAAAATTGACACTCATCCTAATAGAAACTTCAATTACCCTACCACACAATCATGAGGCATACAAACTACACAATCGGTACAGCAAGCAACAGCATTCAATGCTACAGCAAACGAAAGGCTTCCTACTTGATCGAACACCTAGCAAGGCCGAATAAAAACGTACGATTGCCCAAAAGTTAAACAAAATAGACAAAAAGGAAGAAAGATTATAAACAGCTCTTTCTCATCTGGTCCTTGACACATTATGTTGTAACTACAGTTATAATTTATACCTTCTCTGTTGCCTTTGATATGGGATCCCCAAGAAGAAGCTCAGCAGGAGACAAGCTCAAGAGCATTGCCTCAAGCCCACTTCTCATGAAGTTATCATCATATTCCCTATAAATAACATCCCCAGTTGATATCTCCATGGCAACCATCCCAATTTTCACATCAACCCCATATTCGATTCTACTGTCCAAATTATCCACCAACATGCTCTTTTCAACTACACAGAACAAGTAATTACTCTCTCCCCCACATCCCTCCTCAGCTCCCCCTAAATTCTGGACTGCCTCCAATGTTGCTTTAGTATACAAAGCCGATAGTCCCCTGCAAAAGGGGCCTAACTTATTCGACCCATGAGCCTTAATCGCAGCGGTTTCAGTTTGCTTGACAACACCCACCTTATATCCTGCACTAACCAGCCTCCTCACATGCACATTCAATCTAAACGTGGGTATACTCGCAGTCATAAAATTACGATCCAAATGGGCATAAATGCCCAAAACACGAGCTGCTATTTCAGCATCTTGGCCAAAAAATCTGTACCTGTAACCAACCTCCACCATGAGAAGAACATCAGGGTACCTCTTCTTAAGGTCCACAACTTGTAGCTCCAAAGGGGTGTATTTGGCATCACCGCCCGTTGGGGCTTTGGGGTTTTGATTAGAAGATTCAAAGGAGTTTTCAATGGGTTGAAGGAACTTCTCGAGGAATCTTTTGTGAAGTGCGGGATTGGAGACGGAAGGCAGAGGGTTATGGGTATGAGGAGAGAGTTTCGGGCGTTTAGAGGATTTGGGTGGCGTTAACTGAGAAGCGAGTGCAGAAGAAATGAGACGCTTGGAAGGGGAGAAAGTAACTGTTGCTGATATCTTAGGCGGTGAAAACGGTTGGGTCGGCGGAGCTAAGGCGGAGGAGGAGGAAGAAGAAACAGATGGGGACTTGGGTTTTGGAGCAAAGAATCGAGAAATCACTTGTTGCTTCTGTTTCCCCATGAAATTTGCACTCCAAAATTTCGTCTCAGTACTCACGCACACAGACGCTTTTATACAGACACGGTGGCCACCGCTTTGGCGCGCTTTTTCGTTTTCTACAGAATCAAGGTTTGCATTACAAACTCTTCACCTTCTCCATTTAAATCATTCGCAAGTGGAAGAAAGCAGAAACCGGCGTGCGCTTGAAATGAAAGCCTCAGAGATCCTAATTGTCATTGTTCTTACGATCTAACGCTCTTCACAAGAACTCTTCTTCAAACTAAACTTAAAATTTGAACCTTTATACAAATTCTAGGTTTAATCCATACATTAAAAAAATGTAATTAAAAAGTGTCTTTATTATTATTATTATTTTACTAATTTGATAAAGACAAAACCAACATGCCTCCCAACATCGTGGAAGTATGGAAAAAGAAACAAAACGACAAGACTCATTAGTTATGGTAACATATCCGTACATGTAATCTCATTTAAAGAACATATTTTTCTCCCACATTTGGACTTGTTTAATTGGAGTCTCTTTTCTAATTCGAATATTATCGGGATCGGTTGGACTAAAGGGCGGAAGCAAAGAACAAGGGCTTAAAAAGGAAGGATGTTTTACGAGAGTATCGATCATAAACTTGGTGGCTAGGTCTTGGGCAGGACAAGCCAATTCCTCCAAGAAGAGTTCAGTAGCATTTGGTGGGATGGTTGGCTTGAAGGTTAAGAGTTTGGAGTATTCATTTAAACTGTGAAACATGTAGTCATACACCTTCTCCATCCTTAGCTGCTGCTCAATAAACTTGCTCGCTGCCTTCCCAATTGCCCGTACCTAACAAGATCATAAGTTTTTATAGATAAACGAGTTTTTAGTTAATTTAGATGCACTATTTTATGTGTTATCTTTTATAAATTCAAAAAGGGTAAAACTGTCAACTACATTGTTACGATCTCTAGAAGTTTAAGCATCTATACCTTTTGTTGGTGGGTATTGCCCCCATCGACGGCAAACTTGATAGAGTTGCACATGTTCCCGTCATCTTTGATTGGCCAATAATGATGCATTGACACTAAACTTCTAGTGAAGAAATCATAGTAATAGGGCTTTACTATCAATGTCACTGAATCACAAGCAAGAATGTATTTAAGACTCACCGACCAACCAACCCCCTCCACGTATATTTTATACCTTCAAAGTAGTTTTCATATCATTTTATACCTATAAAACATCCGTAAAGAAAAGCTAAGTGTCAAAATTTACCTATGAACACATTGATAAGCTAGATTGGAGTTTTTGAATCGTTGTTCCTGTTCTTTATCCTAATCCTACAAATCCATTATTATTCATTAAAATTAAGAATCCACATCAGCTATACAATTTAAATATTTATTTATTTATTGATATTTACCATCCCCAGAAGGACCAATCAGGAAAAACGATAGTCCAATGTGTCATCATCTCCACCGTATCGGAACAAAGGAGGTGGGGCCGTCGAATTGGGCCTGGGCCCACTATAGTCACCAATGAAAATGTTGGGCTGGTCCTCGCAATTGAACATGAGGTCTAAATCGGGAATTTTACTAGGGTACAACCGTAACAACTGTAGGATCCCCCACAGCGTAAACTTATCCCTACTTTGATACGCATCCATAAATTTCTCCACGTAAGCCCTACCGTCAATTATCACCAGCCGGAAACCTGCCTTTGTCCGCCCGCTCTCCACCATCTCTCTCGTGATCCCCGTTCGCGCCCACGGCCTTAGATCCTCGTGAATCCAACGGAAGTATTCCGGACACGTGTCGAAGTTTTGACGGTCTCGATCTCCTTCTTCTTCATTCACAATTACAGGACTGCTCGAACGGCACTTCTCGCTCCATGAAAATGCCGTACAATTTACAGATGGCAATTGAACTTCACTCCGGTGAGGGTAAATATGTAATTCCGCATCCCTCCCATTGGTCGTCGGCTAATAAAATCAACCGACAGATGGTATAAAAATCATGGTATTTTAATAATAAATAACGATATTACTAAGAAAAACTTACGACATGACGAAGTAGGCGTGAAGAGATTATGAGAAAAGCAGCGATAGAGAGCGAAACAGAAACGAAAAAAATGGTGAAACGGAGTCGAGCTACAGGCTTTCTAATAGTGCCACACATTAAATTAAATAATGAAGCAAAGAATTTTAACCAAAGTTTTTATTATTGTTATAATGCATAATGTTTTTGAAATTTATACACGAATGGGGCTGTCACTATTTTAACCAAAATTATTTTATATTAATATGATGTAATAGCATTATTAGAGAATAACCGTTTAACCATTAAATTGAATTTTTTGGTCAACATGAAAGTTGTCACGATGTTGACTTCTTGAATGGGCTGCAGATTCAAATCCGATGTTTTTCAACAACTATAATGTCCGAATCGTTCGCTGCATGCCACGTGTCCAGAGTACTTCCGTTGGATCCACGAGGACCTACGACCGTGGGCTGGAACGGGAATGACAATGTCCATGTTGGAGGAGGCCCAAAATAAGGCCCATTTCAGGCTTGTAGTCGTGGAGGGAAAGGCCTACGTGGAGACGTACGAAAAGGCATATCAAAGCAGAGGCAATGTTACGCTGTGGGGAATTGTACCGTTGTTACCGAATTACCCAGGAAAATTGCCCGATCTTGATCTCATGTTTAGCTGTAATGACCGGCTAGAGATCTATCAAAAGGATTACAGTGGGCCCGACAAGCCACCCCCTCCTCCGTTGTTTCGCTACAGCGGAGATGATGCCACGTGGGACATTGTGTTTCCTGATTGGTCCTTCTGGGGGTTAAAAGAGGACATTTTCAATAAATAAAAACAATTTCTAATAAAATTATTAAAATATTTAATCCAAACAATATTTTTAATTTTAAACTAATTAGAAGGAAATTACGAAAATAATTAGAAGCTCAATTATGATATTGGTTTCATATCTAATTAAAAGCATTAAAAATATTTTATAATATTATTCTGTATTTATATATTTAGCATGCTTAGCATAATCTACATTATTTAACATTAAACCATGCCAATATGAAATTATTTTAATTTCTCAAGGGTTTTTTTTTTCTTTGTATATTTAAATTTATTTATAAGACGCCAATAATAATCTTTATTTTTAGTTTAACATTATGGCGGATAAAAATTCGAAGGATAAAGTTGATAAATTTATTTCGTTTTTTAATGTTAGTAAGATAAAATAACCTTCCATTTTGTTTTACATTTATTCAAATATTTTTAGAATAAATTTATGTGCGACATGTCGAACGGTGGGAAGTGAGGCGATCTGGGTGGAGAAACGACAATCGACGGCTCTTGTGCTTTGTGTTTCAGGTCATGTTACCCTAGCAACTCTTCTCCTGTTTCACTCTCTCCTCCACTCCATCTGAAGAAAGAAATTCGATCTTGTTTTGAAGCCTCAACTTTGAAGATCTCTACAAAATCGCAAAATCTCAGATAAGTCTTTAATCGAACTTCAAATTTTTTTTAATGTTACATTGACATTCAAGAGGCAGATTAGATTATCTTTCAAATGAGACTTTTCTGTTGGATTCGTAACCTATTGGAAGATTGGGGGTGTTCATGTTAATGGATGCCTCCCAACTGTGGAAAACAAATGCTTCGGCGCTTTTCCACTTGGTCATTTTTGCTCTGTTATTCGATTACTTGATTTCCTTGAGTATTGTGAGTCTTTAGCGATAATGGGTATCAATCATGAACTCTTTATCGCTTGTGAGTTCGCGGATAGTCTGCAGATTGCTTCCACCTTCTTTTATTGTGCGTCGAGCAATCTGTAATCGGAGCTTTGGTGGTGATGATCGATTCGAATTTGTTGTGGAACCCAATAAGAAGAGGTTGGAGGGATCAGAGTTTGGTTACTTTACTGATGAAAATTCGGATTCCTGTGAGATTGGGAGTCGTAGAGGGGATGATCTGTCAATGAGAAGGGGTTTTCCAGAGGGTGCGAAAATTGATGCTGAAAAAGTTATTGAGATTCTCAAACAGGACGGTCCTGGATTTGACACATTATTGGCTTTGGATGAACTGCAACTACAGGTCTCAGGGGTTCTTGTTAGAGAAGTTCTGAAGGGGATTTTGAGAAGTGTAAATGTTCTAAACAAAACTCAATGTGCAAAATTGGGGTACAAGTTCTTCCTGTGGTCCGGTAAGGTCGAGAATTATCGACACACTGCGAGCTCGTATCATATGATCATGAAAATATTTGCTGAATGTGAGGAGTTCAAGGCTATGTGGAGGTTACTTGATGAGATGACTGAGAAAGGGTACCCTGTGACTGCAAGGACTTTTATGATATTGATATGTACCTGTGGTGATGCAGGCTTGGCTAGGAAAGTTGTCGAGAGGTTTATCAAATCAAAAACATTCAATTTTAGGCCGTTTAAACACTCTTATAATGCCATTCTTCATGGACTACTTGTGATAAAGCAGTACAAGTTGATTGAGTGGGTGTATCAGCAAATGCTGCTTGACGGTCACAGCTCAGACATTCTTACATATAATGTGGTGTTGTATGCAAGGTGCAAATTGGGGAAATTGGATCAGTTTCACAGATTGCTTGATGAAATGGCTAGAAATGGATTTTCTCCTGATAATCATACTTATAACATTCTTCTTTTTGTTCTTGGCAAAGGAGACAAACCTCTTGCAGCTCTAAATCTTTTGAACCACATGAGGGAAGTGGGTTTTGATCCGAGCATTCTTCACTTCACGACGCTTATCGATGGACTTAGTCGGGCTGGAAATTTGGATGCTTGCAAATATTTCTTTGATGAACTGGGAAACAAGGGGTGCATTCCTGATGTTGCTTGCTACACTGTGATGATCACAACTTACACAGTGGCTGGGGAGCATGAGAAAGCTAGGGAGCTTTTTGATGAGATGGTCATGAAGGGTCAGCTCCCGAATGTATTGACGTACAACTCCATGATTCGCGGTTTTTGTATGGCGGGTAAGTTCGATGAGGCTTACTCGATGCTGGCTGAAATGGAAACTCGTGGTTGCAGACCAAATTTTGTTGTATATAGTACCCTTGTAAGCTATTTGCGAAATGCTGGAAAGCTTTCTGAGGCTCATAAAGTTATAACGCGCATGGTGGAGAAGGGGCAATACGCCCATTTAGTGACGAAATTCAGGGGATATAGGAGATGCTAGATCATTAGGAAGAACTTTTGTAATTGAAGATTATTAGTTAATAAGCAAATGAGAAATTCAATTGCCAGTTTGTCCAGTCCTTATGCTCCTTTTACATTGATTCTTTGAGACTGTTGAAGATGAAGTTTTATATAGCTTAGTAATATGGTTGTGAACAGAACTGCCGTCATTTTTTAATGCTGTTGCTGCTGCTGATTCAGGTTCCCCAAAACTCACCCCCCCCCGTTTTTGCTGTTTAGTTTGGTCTCTGGTTTGAGTGAGTCATGTAAATTATCGTCAAACCAAAAAGAGTAGAGCTTGGCGAAAATTAACGTGAAAATAAAGACATCTCAGTATGCATTTAGAGTTAGTTCGTAGACATGTCTTGTAACAGTCCAAGCCCATCATTAATCGGTATTGTCTTATTTGGACTTTTTCTTTCGAGTTTTTTCTCGATGTCTTTAAAATGCGTCTCCTAGGAAGAAGTTTTTACACCCTTATACAAATTGTTTCGTTCTTCATCCTCATTGACACTCGTTCCCCTCCTCCCAATCAGTATAGAATCTCACAATCTATCTTCCTTTTGGGACTCATAGGCGGTGACCCAGTGTCTAATACCAACGGGTAATAGTCTAAGTCCATCTTTACCACATATTTTCATATTTGTGATTTTCTCTTTTTTGAATTTCTATTAAGGAGAAATTTTCATGGTTGTCTGAGATTGAACAATGTCTATATCCCTTCTTAAAATGTAAGTGTCTAAGATAGGACTAATTTAAAATCTGTATTTTATTTCTTCAATCGTTGGCCTCTCTCTCTCTCTCTCTCACCATCCGTCCTTAACGACTTCAATCCTGTTTTTTCAACCATCCCTCATCTTTAATCCCTCCAAAATTTCCCACTATAAAAACAACTACAAAAACTTCATTCTCTCAACCATTCTCTATCTAGATCCCTGAACTCGCCGGACGCCAGCTCCGGTGGGTCTGAAAGCCAGAATTTGGGCCTGAGTGAACATTAACGAAGTTTCAAAATGAGGGACTCCAGTTTCCGGCAGAGGCTTGCGCCTTGGAACTCTCCCCATTTTTCTTTTTCAGATCATCGTCTATTCAAGCCATTTCTCAAGTCTCCGGCTGCATTTTCTCTCATTTTCCTCCTCGCCGGTGCCTTCCTCTCCACCCTCATCCTTCATTCCCCTGTAAGTTTCTTCTTTCATTCATTAACTCCCACCAATTTCATTCTTTCTCCTTTCAATAAGAATATGCTTAAACAATCGATATGTCGTTTTCTGGTGTCGCTCACTGAAAATTTCCCCGCCGACGGATTGGCCGAACTGTCGGTTCTACATTTTCCTCGACAAAAAAAGGCAGGCCACTTTCCGACGCGTGTTCCTCCTCCTTTATTTAGATTTCGCCACGTCCTTTGTGGGCCCCAATTTTGTTTTTGTTTTTTTTTTATTCTTTTTTGAGATCGCCGTAGACTTTCGAAGTCAGCTATATATATATTTATGTTTATTCTCCTTTTATAAAATATAAAAATATTTATAATTTAACAAAGAAAAAACAATTTAATTAAACTTGGTTGGATTTTATTTTATTTTATTTCAGTGGACAGCGTGGAATTTATCTGGAAACATAATAAAAGGTAGTGCGAAATCCCGTTCTTACCCCGACAGTACTTCCGAAATTCCACAAAGACCACACCGACAACGACAAGTCGATTTCCCACTCGACTGCACGTCCTTCAATAACGCCACAAGAGGAGCCTGCCCTGCCACCTACCCGACCATTTGGACTGTGGAGGAAGATCCGAACCTTCCACCGTCATCCACGTGTCCGGAATATTTCCGTTGGATCCACGAGGACCTGAGGCCATGGGCCCAGACCGGAATCACGAGGGCCTCGCTGGAGGCTGCGAAACAGACGGCCAATTTCCGGCTGGTAATTGTGAATGGGACGGCTTACGTGGAGACTTATGAAAAGTCGTTTCAAACCAGAGATACTTTTACGCTGTGGGGCATCCTACAGTTGTTGCGGAGGTACCCTGGAAAAGTGCCTGATTTGGAGCTGATGTTTGATTGCGTTGACTGGCCTGTCATTTTGACCACCAACTTTAGTGAGCCTAATGGGCCGGCCCCACCTCTGTTCCGTTATTGTGGGAATGATGCCACGCTGGACGTCGTGTTTCCTGACTGGTCCTTCTGGGGATGGTCAGTCCACTCCATCTTTTCCTTTGAAGCTTTTAGTGCTGTGATGATTAAATACATTTGGTATACTTTTGTAGGTCAGAGATCAATATAAAGCCATGGGAGGTATTGTTGAAGGATCTAAAAGAAGGGAACAAAAGAACGCCATGGAAGAACAGAGAAGCTTATGCATACTGGAAGGGAAATCCGGAGGTCGCCGAAACCCGAAAAGATCTTCTCAAATGCAATGTCTCCGACCAACAAGACTGGAATGCTCGTGTCTTTGCTCAGGTATCAGTTTTCATTTGAATGTTCTTCAATATAAAGCCACTTCATCACTCGTGGGTCAAGCTCAGCTCATCGTATTATGCTTCAAAAAACAATTTTCAGGATTGGATGAAAGAATCCCAGCAGGGATACAAGGAATCAGATCTTGCAAACCAATGTCTTCATAGGTACAATTTGAAGGATATGGATTTTAAAGAGAAAAACTCTGTTTTCTAGGAAAAAAAAGCTCTGTTTTTCTCTGATTTAAACTCATTTGCAGGTATAAAATCTATATAGAAGGATCTGCTTGGTCTGTTAGTGAAAAGTATATTCTTGCTTGCGATTCCGTTGCCTTAATCGTAAAGCCCCATTACTACGACTTCTTCACCAGAGGTTTGATGCCATTGCATCACTATTGGCCTGTCAAGGATGATGACAAGTGCAAGTCTATAAAGTTTGCAGTTGATTGGGGCAACAGCCATAAGCAAAAGGTAATTCTACCATAGGCCAAGCTAGTTCCTATGTCAAGTTACTTATCGAGTTTCGGGTATAAGATTGTGTATTTATGTCGATGGTTGCTCAGGCAAAGGCCATTGGTAAAGCAGCTAGCAGTTTCATCCAAGAGGAGCTGAAGATGGACTATGTCTATGACTACATGTTTCATCTTCTAAGTGAATATTCTAAACTCCTTACTTTCAAACCGACGATACCAAGTAAAGCGATCAAGCTTTGTTCGGAGGCCATGGCTTGTCCAGCTGAAGGGCTCACCAAGAAATTCATGATGGAATCATTGGTGAAGAGCCCTGCAGATTCGAAGCCGTGCACAATGCCACCCCCATATGATCCCGCATCGCTCCATCTTGTTCTTAGAAGAAAAGAGAATTCAATCAAACAAGTAGAGGAATGGGAGAGCACTTTGTGGGATGCTCAAAGTAGGCAGCCATAGACACAAATACACCCTCCTTACTCAAAGCAGGTATTCATTACATGCCATTTTCATTCTCTAAGAATTTGAATAGAGAAAGCCTAATGAATTGTGATCAAATCATACAAAAACTCATCTGGGTGTTTTCTTTTACTTGTTTTCTTCGTCAAGTTCAATCCTTTTCTAAAAACAGTGAGTGAAAGAATGAACTTTATATATATATATCTATAGAGAATTACAGCAGATCATCAATAGAGCTTTGGAGATGAGTGAAACCCCATGAAGAAAAAGGCAAAGCTTGAAAGAAAGAAGGAAAAGAAAGTGAAAGAGTAATGTTCACAACGTTAATTATCCGCAGACTCAAAAATGGAGGAAAAGCGAGCTTAAAAAGCTCGAGCTTTGATAATGTCGAAGGTCATTTCGCTGGGATCAGTGGCTTGCAGTTCCACCTGAATTCCATCCAATTCCCTCTTGAATCTGTCCTTGGAGCTCGCATAAACCATCTTATTTCTCACTATCGATGTGTCGGGGGACCTTCAAAACAGAGACAAACAGACAACCGCAGTTCATATGTATGTCTTCAAGTTTTAAGGTTTCATTTATGTAACAAAATTTGATGGAAAAGTTGAAATTCTGTCTCCTTCCAGCCCCAGAGGCAATCAAGTCATGATGTTTTGGATAATGTTTGATTGGATTGCTACCAATATCATAAATGTCTTTTTATAGTGTTTGGTTATGTATCCGAAGGTGTCGTGTGAATTTTAGAAACATTTTCTAAAACTATAATTAAAATACGAGAACATATAGCACATTGTGTAGTGTTCATAGTCTCAATTTTCGAAAGGTGAAAGCTAACATTAAATATTATGAGATGGAACATAAATATTAGATAGAGGAGAAATTGGATGTTACCAAGCTATGAAGAAAATCTTGCTTTTCTGGCAATTCTCATCGGTGGTGAAATCAAGGTCAAAGACAGCATAGCGACACTCATCAGAAGGAATGGCAGCAAGGAAATCATCATAAGTTTTTTGAGGACTCCCAAGCTTATCCACAACAACTTCTTGATTCTCAATCTTGAATACAATGAATCGATAGTTCCTCTTCGTTTTCAATTCCAAAAATTTGAGCTTACACTCATCACTCACAGCCATTCCAGATGCAGCGTTCGCCTAATTCATAACAACCACACATCAATCCATTCTATATTTCACTTTTTTTTTTATTATATTAATTAATTCCATCAACCCAATTATATTTTAAGATTGCCAACAAAAACACAAATTTCATATCCATCAAAGATTCAAACTTTTATCCAACCCGTAACATTACATGTGACTATGACCTAAAACAACGTGACAGTTCCAAATTTTATCCAACCTTGTAATTTAACGTGATTGATAATAAGAATGGGGATGAACATGTAAGAAACTAAGAACAAGTAACAAAAGAACATTAGAAAAAACAACACTTAGGCATGAAAGATGTGTGTGAGAGAGAGATGGAATTACCATTTTTGCGTGTGGAAGTGTACGAAAGGGGGAGAGAGATGGGCGTAGGGAGAACGGAGGATAAGAAAAGAGAGAAGAGAAGAGAGAAGGTAAGAGGGAGAGATCCTTATTTTGTGGGAGAGAGAGATCAGAGTAAAGAAGAGTAATTTGAGGGACAAATCCAAGGCTCACAATTGTTTTCTATGGCTGATTATGTCCTCATCCACGTCTCTTCCTTAAACAAAGCTCCACAAGATAACAAACCTCCTTAATTTTACCAAACTACATCAATTTTAGACACAAATGTCTCTCATATTTACTTCAAATTTGACCAATTAATGTTGTAAATAATGGGTGATGTTCCAAAACTACCCACTTTTTCTCATGTGTAAAAGAATCTTTCTCATACAGCTATGCTATCATTCAATTCAATCCATGAACTGCACAACTCTGGGACCCTTTTTCTTTTCCACTTTTGCATCTTTCATCTGCAAATGATCTTCGTCGATGTTGAAATCATCCTCGAGATCATCGCCGCTCACACGCCTCGTCTCTGGTCGTCTATGCATTTCCACATATCCAGATGCTGAGACAAGAAAATGAATGATTACTCATAATATTATGTTTCCCATTCATGCTTTTCAAGATATTATAATAGATTGTTTTACAAGATGTTTGTCAATCCTGAAAAGAACAGCTTTCCACAGTGGCAGTTTTGATCGAAACATCTCTTTTTTGCGTGTTCATGAAATTCCCAGAAAGGTACTCGATACAAAAACAAGAACTAACGAAGAACTTTGGAAGATTCAAAATCATTTACTTTGATCAACATGGTTGTACTACAAAATCCTAGCAAATGAATGCAGATCATCATTTCACTGTTATTTGATACTCATCCATGCAGGCTTGACCTTGAGTGGATGAAATAATATGATCAAAGGTCATGGTTTCTATGTCTAACCCTCGTATCTCAGTCAAAATGGAGATGTTTCAAAATGGTTTCTCTATGTCTAACACACAAAAAATGAAAAAATAGAAACAAATTTGGAAACTTACATTTGTTACCATCATAAGCCCCACCAGAAAATTGGGTGGCTTTGTTTGGACAATCCTTAGCTAAATGTGTGACTTCCCCACAAGTTTTACAACAACCTCCCTGCAGAACATCATAGGAGGGCATCCTTAAAATTGTATGATACGAGGAAACTGAGGGACAGCCTAGAATTCATTACAGCAAATACCTTAGGATAGATCCCATGAGTGTTCTTCGGACAGTTTTTGCTCAAGTGTCCACTTTCGTTACAAATAAAACAACTGGCGAATTTAGTTCCTCCTACAGTTCCAGATGGAAAACGAGACATATAATTTAAAAGAAGAAAACCCCATAAGAACTCCAGTGGATACGAGTTTGAATTGTAATAAAATTTACCATCTTGAAGAGGCTGTGGACAATTAGCCAATGAATGTCCTGTTTCACCACAGTTATAGCATAACTTCTTATCCACAGTCCTTTCATTTTTGTCTGGGCAATTTTTGAGGCTGTGCCCTCGTCTCCGGCAAAGCAAGCATATCTGAGAATGCCAAATAACAGAAATAGACAGCTAATATACCTAAAAAAATCATAGTTTTAAACTTTTGGAAATAGTTTAAGTAAATCAAGGTGGAATTGAAATCACAATTAGTTATCAACAGAAACAATCTTAAATGCTAGTAAAAGGCATAAAGGCAGGACTGGATGTTCATCCATACTACTTCGAAGGCATATCCCCAGATTTGTGTTGAGGATTATTGGGAGTGAGTCCCCGGTGATTAATTTAGTGGAAAATCATGAGTTTATAAGTGGGGAATATTATGGAAAATCATGAGTTTATAAGTGGGGAATATTATCTCCATTGGTATGAGGTCTTATGAGGAAGCCCAAAGCAAAGCCATGAGAACTTATGCTCAAAGTGGACAATATCATACCATCGTGGAGATATGTGATTCCTAACATGGTATCAGAGTCATGCCCTAAACTTAATCATATCAATAGAATTCTGAAATATCGAACAAAGAATTGTGAGCCTTGAAGGTGTAGTCAAAAGTGACTAAAGTGGATGAATAATGAGTGTAGTTTATTCGAGGGGAGAATTGTTGAGGATTATTGAGAGTGAGTGCCACATTAAATAATTTAGTGGAAGTGGGGAATACTATGAATGTGAGACCTTTTGGGAAGCATAAAGCAAACCCATAAGATTCCATGGTGAGATCCATAATTCCTAACCGTTCATTCATTCCAAACCTTCCACTTTCCCACAAGATTATCATCACAAAGTGACAATAGTTGATGGAAGAAGCCTTAGCATAGGCATAACTAAGCTAAGAAGTTTGCATCAAATAGGAGAGGAAAATCCAATCCTAACCAATGTCACGGACACCACATTCATTACAGTGATAGCTTTGGAAAGGGAACCCTATTCTATGAGCAAGATTTCCATAAACTCGGTGAACAGTGAAACACCAGAAACACGGAAGAGTTTAACGGAAAAACAAACCTTGTTCTTCTCCCATTGAGCCTTTTCGGGGCAAAGCTTAGCAATGTGGTCTTTGGCTTTGCAGATGAAGCAGCTTTCTCCAGGTTTCATCCCAGTCACTCTAAGAGGGTGTTTCTTAAAACTCTTCTTGTGGGGTTTATTTGGGTCGCTGGTTGAGTTCGATTCTGCCTTTTTGCGCTTGAATTTACTCTTCTTCTTCTTCTTCTTCTTGTCGGGGTCTTTAGGTGGCGTTGGCTCTGCTTCCGGAAACAGTTCCGGGTGTTCTTCTCTGTACTTTTTCCGGGCAAGTCTTTGCCTTTGGCTCACCATCTTCACCTGAAAAAGGGTCCTTCAGGATCGGAAGGTGAAGGCTCCGGCGAATCCCGATGAGGTTTTTCAACGAACGGAGTGGCGGCGAGGTTTATGTGAATGCAAACTTCAAAAGTTTTAACATTACTCTTAATTCTGTCATAAAAAAGAAAATTAAAACTACATATTTACCCTTTTGTTTTGCTAGTTAGTGTCTTGTCTAAAATATCAACTTTAAACTTTTTAAAAAATATATATTAACCTAAGAAAAATAAAATAAAATTACTTTTATTGTTAGTGTAGATAAAACCCATTATTATTTTTATGTTTTTATACTATTGCTATATCATCTCAGTTAGACACATTTTAAAACTTTGAAAAGAAATTTTTTATCAAAGTCTAAGGACGATAATATTAATTAGCAATTACAACTATTAAGATCTTCGCAACGTGAAGGGAAAGTCATTAAACACAATACTGAGAGAACAAACATTTAAGTTCATAAAAGATAATATCTATTAGCAATATATATTTTTTTTTCCAGTAGTTACAACTATTAAGATTTTAATCTTTAAAATTAATTATATTCAAGAACTCCAAATAAATGGGTGATTAGTGGTTAAAATTCTTATATTTTCTCCCATCATTGAAATGAAAGTTTAAATTTTTATTACTATCTGAATTCCATTAAAACAGTAAAAGGAGAAACCACGCTCACGCTAATGCTATATAACACAGTAATTTTATATTGATTCTGCCTAAGAACTATCTAAAACGATCCTGTTTCATTCTTTATTTCTTTCTCCTTCCTCCGATCAAGCTCCATTCACGGCCGGCGCGACTGCTGGAGCAACCGACAGAGACATGGCCTGAACTGGCCCTGGCGCAGTTGACAGAGACACTGGCTGAACGGGTCCCGCCGCCACAATCCCAGAGCTTCTAATCTCCGACATTCCTCTTCTCACATTTCCTCCTTGAGCTTCACAAAGCTTCGGAAGAAAAACGCCTGCCCAATAAACACGCAAAATGTCAAACTACCATTCACAAAGTCATTGTTAAAACGGAAATTACGAGTCACCTTCACCGGCGGCGAGGTTGAAGAAGAGATCGACAACATTGGAGCAATGGTCGTAGCAGCGAGAGGAACAGAGGTCGCGAGTGAAGCGCGTGTCGAGAAGGGAGTCAGAGGAGATACCGAGGGTGTTCCTGTCGAGGCCACAGCCTTCGATGCACTGCTCTGTTTCAACGATGTTCTGTAATTGGTCGGCCTCGATCTCCGATGTCCGACATGTGAACGCTTCTTCTCCACTGCGCTTCACTGTCTTTTCAAGCACACACCGCTTTCCCGACCACGACACTGCAAATGCGCACCTGCTTTTCTCCAAATCCTCGCACTTTATCATGCTGCTGCTTCCTAGTGTTGTTTGGAAGGCGAGAACGATGAGAAGGGCAAGGATTGGAAGGTGGGTGCAGCCCAATTTTGAAGAATCCATATTGGGAAAGCTTAAAAAGAGCATCAATGGAGTTCTTATGAGGCAGAGTGCTTGGGGGATTCAAGAACAATGGGGGGTTTTTATAGATGAGATTTGGGAAATTAAAAAGAAGAAAAAGAAAAAGAAAATTAATTTTCCAAAAAGACGACCTACAACTACTTGGACTTGGACTGTTCTCTCCAATTTTGTTGTATTAAATTTCGTTAATTAATAAACGGAATTAATGTTCAAACCATATAGTAATCAATGGATGTGGGAAACCATGAAAATGGTCAAAAAGGAGGCTTTCATGGCCACAGCCATCCAGAATGTAGCTAACCTTAACTAACCTCAATGACGCCACCCTTAATGGCGCCAATTTTTTTTCTTTTTTTGGGCGGGGACGGGAACTATTTCTGGTCACGATCATTGACTCCTATTGCTGTCTCGGGTTGAATAGAATCACGAGAAATTCGTTTTATATACGAATTTCATTTTTATATTAAAGTGGTTAGCTTTACATTCTCTCCAATCTATCATTATCGAACTGACTATCCCTATCTTATTTATCCTGTTAACATAGATTTTAAAACAAAAATGAATTAACTTTAAGTCTTCTATATATATTTAAAACACAATTTGTAACTTAAATATTTCAATTATTAATCAAATTTAGAAAAAAAAAAGTTTTTTTTTTTTAAAATAACCTTGAAAACTACTATCTAACAATTTTTGAACTGATAATTATACTATATTTCTTAATATTTTACTTTTTATATTATAATTAGTAATTAAGATACAATTATTATATTTCTTAATATTTTAGTTTTTGTATTATAATTAGTAAGATACAATTATTTTAACGGGTTTATATATACATTTCTTGACTAAAACCATAATTAACCCACCATAAATTATGAATTATCCAAGAAATTTCTTCCTCCTTCAAACAAATGAAAATAACAAGAATAATTAAATAATTGTAGCACATAATAGGAGTCAAAGAGTTTTAAGCATGTTTAATGCACAACTCATCAACTCAACTTCATTCTAGAAGCATATAAAGTTAGGTAAATAATGAACGACAAGTTATAAGAAATTTATCGTTGGGTATAGTTTAATTCACCTATTTAAAATTTAAGTCCGATAAAAATAAAAATAAAAAAAGTTTAAATATTTATAATTACGAGGTCGAGGGGGTCATTTTTATTATGTAATTTGGTGAATTTTAAATGATATTAATTTAATTTTGTAAAGTTTGCATCAAATCAAAGCTGTTATAAAACTTTGAATGAATAATTGTGAGGGAAAAATCAAAAGGATGAAACAAAATTTTGTTGGCTTTGTTAGGAAAGTAATAAAGGACCCAACACTACTTTGTCAAATAAAAGTACTGTTCGTAAAAGAAAATTGTACATCATCAAAGTTTCATGTTTTTTTACTTGTTGGATGATGAAACTCCTATATCGACTAATTTAAGGAATGATCATGAGTTTATAATCAATGAATACTCTCCATTTGTATGAGCCATTTTGGAGAAGCCCCGAGAACTTAGGCTCAAAGTGGACAATATTATAGAGGGTCGTGTTCGTCTAACCATACTATCTTAAATTTAAATTTTAAAACTTTAAATTTAATCCGACAAAAAAAAAAAAAAAAAAAAAAAATCGTCTCCACTGATTACGGGGAAACCCATTAAAATGAGGCTGCCATGGGCGACATTTGAAACTTCCAATTTGGACTTTTAATTAAAATTTAATTTCCTCCCATTCGTTGGGGCATTTATTGGCTTTTTATAGTTATTAAGAGTAATTGCATTGCCACCTCATCTTCAACGTGTTTTTTTTCCTTCTTTTTTTAGGAAACGCTTTTTTAACATGTCTGATTTTCAAATATTGAGAGACTTTTACACAGCTAATTCAAAATTTGCCTAATCTTTCATTCTAATTAATCTACAAACCTAACTAACTTAATTATGATGCCAAATACTTTAGTATTTTAATAATAATGTGATTATCAGTGGTCATATATTTTCGCTTCTAAAATTTATATATAATTGTGATTTTTTTTTTAATTTATTTAGAATGAAAATTGAAAAAAAAAAAATAGTAAACAAGATTATCCATGTCATGGGTTCGAACCGTAAGGGAATGTAAAATTTTATTTTTATATAAATATTCTTTCCGGCCCATTCAAGCCAGCGCAGCCCAGCAACCCCTTGTAACACTGGCTTTCGGCCCAGCCAGCCCAATATGCGCGTGCCATCTTACTTAGACTGCTAGGGTTCGATTCCCTACATTTCCTTCCCAAAATACATCATTAAAATTTAATTGTTTAACAACGACTTAAAAAGGACTATAAATTATATATCTAAAAACAAGAACTAGCCTGGTATACCTGAGGAATTCATGAGATTAGAAACACAAGCATTAGAGCTATGGATGGATGGTTCCTAAGGGATCACACGATCCAATAAACGACCGGGAATCGACTCCAACATTGTGAACGAGACAAACATTGGATCAATGCAATCCCTTTGGAACTCTCCACCAGCACTAAGGCTCACCCTAAAAAATGGATAGGTTATTTATAGAAGAAGAGATAGGCAAGTGGGGGCTAGATTTGTCCCACTAGCTAACTTATATCTGTTATTGTTTGAGCGCTCATGTTTTTAAGTGTGGTTGGAGTTTTAGGCAAATTTGATAACTAATTCTCTTTCCGAACTTTGTAAAATTAGTAATTAAGTAATAATTTGCATATTCAATTAATTAGGCTTACATATATCATTTTCACTCATACAAATATTGATATAAGATTAAGAAGGTATGCCGTAAAAATTTCATTTAAATTTGAACCAAAATGGATAGTCCTAATATTTCTTTTGATTTCTCCAAAAGGGTTTACTCCAATCTACATGTTTATCATTTTTTTTTTAAGACCTGCCCTTTGTGTAATCTATATGAAATTTGGATGGTACTACACAGGAATGCAGAAAACAAAATACAAACAAATGGAATATGACATAACAACCAAATGTATAACATTTGAATTTGAATGATGTTACATGTAACTCTCCAAGAACAAAAAAAATCAATTTTCTTTTGAAATAATATTGTGCGCTATAAATTCGTGTGTGTACGTGTATTGGTAGCTTCTGTGCGTCTCCTTCCCTGTGAAGAAATTAGCATGAACAATATATATATATAAATGAATACAAATGAGAAAAATAATGATAGCAGAGTTGTTCATGGTATAATATTATGGCAAGTTGAGTCGCATGGATAAGCACAGTCAATCTCCTTTGTGTTCCTCCTGCTAAAGTACCAATCTCCCACTGCTTCTGCTATTGTCTGCAAAATATAACCCCAGATTCATTGATTTTATATTGAATTTGTACCGACTTAAATGATACTTTTTAAAGTTAGAGACTTATTAGACACAAAATCAAAATGTTCGGAGGTATTCCAAGTATATTGTGATTACGCAGGGAATACCTTGTCGTCTATTGTTGGGGAGTCCTCTCCAAACCATGTGTCTTGTGACTCACTTTGGCAGTGAGCAAAGCATGAATTTATGAACATTCCTCCTCTGCTTGAATATTCATAGAATAATCTTAATGCAGAAAGCATACTGATTCTTAGACCTAAAGATTTAAAT